GCCTCCCCGCTGCTGCTCCCGGGCGGAGGCAAGAGGTGGTTGGGGGGGACCATGGCTGACGTTTTCTCGGCCAACGACTCCACGGCGTCTCAGGACGTGGCCAACCGCTTCGCTCGCAAAGGGGCGCTGAGGCAGAAGAACGTGCACGAGGTGAAGGACCACAAATTCATCGCCCGCTTCTTCAAGCAGCCCACCTTCTGCAGCCACTGCACCGACTTCATCTGGTAGGTGCGCGCGGGCCAGGGCGCAGGACCTGCGCCCCCAGGGTACCCCCGGACCCGCTCGCTGCACGCAGGGCTGGAGACACCAGCCCTCGGTCTCCCGGGGACCCGAGCTTGGTCCCCTCAGCCCAGACGCGTCCGCTCCAGGGCTCGCTCACTCCGGGAACTTGGAGAGCCGGCGGGAGTCCCAACTCTCGCCCGGAATGACACTCGCGCGCCCGGCTGTCCCGCCAGTGACATACACGCGGGCAGGACTCCCGGGGAAGTCGCCGCCCTGCCACACACCCCCTGCTTCTGGAGGGAGGGCTGGCCCTGCGAGGCAGTGACATGGGTCCCCTTCCTGGGACCAGTGATCTCCCCCCTTGGTGGCCCTGCCCTCAGACCGCGGGGCAGCCCTTTTGGCGGGGTGTGAGTGAAAGCGAAAGATAGAAGAGTCCCGAGGGCCACTGTCCCGGAGAAACAGGTCCCGGAGCGCCCGCGGAGCCGCGGCGATTGCTGCGCGCGATCCAAGTTGGCGAGCCAGGCTAGGCGCCTTCGGGCTGTGTGGTGTGCCTCCCATTGGGCTGGGACTGCACTGGAATCTTGGGTCCCTGCCTACTGTAGCTTGTATCTTCTGGGCACGGAGAGAATTTGACTTTTCTAGGTGAGCCCAGAGAGAAAGTCCACAGGCAACAAACTGTTGAAAGCTTGCAGTGGGGGAGGGGGCATTAAAACAGTGCAGGCAAATGACAGAAGGGCAGAGGGAGTCATTTAAAATAGACCCAGTCAACACGAGATTAGACCTGTAACCCTGCTGATGAGGACAGAGGCCTTATTAAGAAAAATACTGTAACCGCTAAAGGTATCAGAGTTCAGGTCATTTCCAATGAACGCACGTATTTGTAACTTGGAGGCCCTGGGGGTTTGGGTGGAATTGTGAGATGTCTGTGCGGTTCTTTTTCCCCCCTGATGAAAGAGTTACAGCTTTATCTGATTTTCAAAAGATGTGTGACTCCCCCCCCCCCCCCCCCATTCTAGAAACCCTAACTAAAGGAATTCCAAGTCCTTCAATTTGGGGATCAGTAGTTTTGTTTTTCTCTTAGTTTGCTCAGAGCGCTGGTGGTGTAGTGGTTAAAGCTCTTAGCTACAAACTGAAGGTTTGGCGGATGGAACCCACTACTCCGCTGTGGAAAAGATGAGGCAGTCAGCTTTCATAAATATGACAACCTTGGAAACCCTACTCTGTCCCACAGGGTCATTGTGAGTTGGAATTCAGTCAACAGGCAACATACTGCTGCTTCTACGTCTTGGTGGGTGTAGGCTAGCACCCTCCTCTGGTAGGCCAGTGAGCAGCACTGGGTTACAGTTCGAGCCATATATATGTAGCTTGGGACCCTAGGGAAGGAGCTCTGGTAGGACAGTGCCTAAGGCATCTGACTGCTTGCTAACCAGGAGGTTGGTGGTTCAAACCCACCCACCAGCCGCTCCACGGTAGGAAGACTGGGCAAACTCCTTCCATAAAGATTTACTGCCTCGGAAACCCAGTGGGGGTCGCTGTGAGTTGGAATCAATTCCATGGCAGTAGGTTTGGTTTGGGACACTAGGAAGAACTTTACCAATGGTTATGTCTGAATCCATCACTGGAGTGCTAATCTGGTGCTTAATTTTTCCTTTCCTTTTTAGAAATCGTCTTAAAGGTCTGCTTTTATGGAAAGCACAGCCACTTCTATGGATGCTTTCAATCCGTGTAGTCAGCATGGGAAGCTATTGTGCTCCAAGGAGTAGGTAATTGTAGATAAGGCTATTTATAGTAAGTTTTTGGAGCATCAGGGCAGAGAGAGGCTGTTGCAGTTAAAAGCGAGGACTTCTGCCTCCTTGTCAACTGTGATATTCCATTAGAAGGGAACCATTAACTCAGACTGTTGATCACTTTTGCAGGAAGTAGGTAAGTTAGAAAAGGGACTTGTAACCTACCCTGGCCAGCTAATGTCTTTCCACTATCAGTTGCCGGCAGGGACCAGCCCCTGGTGAACTGATGTGGCAAGCCAGGTCACCAGGTCTGTTGTTAAGTGGAAAATACAGCCTCTCCCTCTTCCCTCCTCCCGGAATCATCTCTACAGTGTGTCTCTGCTTAATTGTAAAGCAGCGACTCGGAAGTTCCTTAGGAAACATGGGCTGGAATTCTTCAGCAGTGGCTTTAATTTTTCAGTTTTCTTTTATTGTTGCTTCTATAGGTCCTTGATTTACAGGTTTTGTTTAAATCTTAAAGCATTGACATTTTAAAGTGAAATGTTTGAGTTTAGGTTTTTTTTAATTTTTTTTTTTTTTTTTTGCGGGGTAGGGGGATGACTAAGTTAATTAGAAAGGTATGTGAAGTGCTTTGTAAATTGGAAAAGCTTGTGAAGCAAGGGATTGTGACTAAGAACCTTCTGTGAAAATTTGAATGCAATCCATTCTAGTGGAACAGTGTTTGCAACTCAATGTCCATGTCAGGGTTGCCCCTTAGAGAGTAAAGTCTCTAAAGTAATTTACAAGAACGAAATTGCCTCTGTGTATGCCTTGAATGCTGCTGGTTCTCAGTAAAAATCAGATCATGATCATCTCAGATGCAAACAATAGGAATGATACTTTGTTTGTAAAATACCACTCCTTAAGCCAAAATTAAATGTGAAGAGTGATGCTGGCAATTTCCCAACATATATTTTAAACAAACTCATAACACATAATGAAGTCACTTTTTAATATCATTAAGGAGAAAAAAAAAATTTTAGTTGGTCTTTAGGAGCAAAATTAAGCCATTTCCTTCTTTCCCATAAACTCCTTTTTGTGACTTGAATATTGTAGCCAACTTTGGATATACAATCATCTTTCTGCATTAAAGTTTAAATATTGATCACATAGTGTAAAAAATTGGAAGGAAACTTGTAAGTTGAAGCGTTTCAGTGCTCCTTTGCAGCCAAGATAAATTTCTTTCCAAAGTTGAATTTATTTAGTAATCTGTGCAGTAAAATGAAATGTGTATTTTTCTTATCAAATCATTGGGTCTCATATATAAGCTTTTAACTCTGTTAAATAATTTGTCATGTAACTTGCTTAATGTCCAACATGAAGTATGTTAAGATATTTTGTTCTTTTTTCTGTTTTTCAGGGGGTTTGGGAAACAAGGCTTCCAGTGCCAAGGTAAGCTGCCATGTTGGATTTTGTTTTCAAGTATAACATGACGTAAGCATTCCAAACAGGAATGCTATTTTAAGTCATCTTTTCTTTGTGATCCCAAAAATATGTTATTTAGATAATATTTTTGAAATGTGAGGGCTGTCAATTTGGGCCTTTAAAAAAAAAAATCAAATGGTCTTGCCTAGTAATCTGCATACAGAGCTGTATTTTTCTCATTAAAACAAAAATTCCTGTAATTTTATTTTTGCAGAGAACATTCTTGTCAGAAACTGCTGTCTTTGTGTGGGTGTTAAGAAAAAAGTAGAATCATTTTGTATTCGCATGGCTTTTCTTTCTTGTTCTTCCTCTTTGTTTTTGTTCTTCATCTGTTTACCTGTGCATTGGGCTGGACTCATTAAGACTTATTTTAGGCCATACATCATTCTCAGATGTGCTTTTTTTTTTTTTTTTTTTTTTTGTAAATGACTGACTGTCATCCAGATCCAAGTTTGCATGTTTTAAAGTTACATAGATAATTCAGAATGACTAATTCCTACAGTATTACTATGTGGCATACTTTTCCTTCAGCTGAAATATCTGACAGCATGTATGATGCTATCCATAGCCAGAAGAGATCATTTTAACCCCCTCTTTTATCTGTAGTTGCATTTCTCACACATCAAGTATTTAACATTTTATACTTTCTCTTCTATTTGTTTAATCTCTTAACACTGTCTAGCTTGTGAAGGCATCTTCAGATTCATCAACTCACCTTCTGGCTCTCCTGTTCATCGTCAGTATTATGTTTATTTAGTTCTGGTTACATTTCCCATCTGGGCATAGGTTTATTATTAGGGCAAATAGAAAGTACATTGTAGCCTGGAAAATGTTGTGCTAACACTGTGTAATGTTAAGCATATTAAGGAGAGAAAGGGAGAAGGTGCTATGTGTACTTTCCACAACTTTAAAATTATAGTAATCTGATTGCCCTTTAAAACTGCTTTACATTTGTGGACTTGGCTTATATATGTCTTCTAAATGTATTTTAGATGGGGGTATTTTATGGTATGGTTATTCATTAATGCTCTGCCTTTTTTATATCAAGATGTTTTATAGAGTGTTTAAAGCCCCTACTGGATAAATCATTTTGAGAATTAATATTTGGAAATCAAGGCATATTCTTGTGAAAAAGAAAGAAAAAGGGGTGTTGCACCGGTCTCTCTCTAAAAGAAGAAAGGAAGGTGGGGAGCTTTCTGGTTCTCGGCATTGTGAGCCTGAACTTCGTTGGCAAGCTTGGGATCCAAACTTTAGGTTTCAGGAAATTTAAAGATGTAAAGGTCCTTTGCGATTCTGGGCTAATAGAACTCACTTCTATCATTTTTGGTAATGCTGTTTTTTAGATAGGAACCTATGGAAACTCATAAGAAAAATATTAGTGAATTTTCCCAAATACTACTACCTTCCGAGAGAAAGAAGGCAAACTACTTTAAAAACTGTATCATTTTCTGCATAAAAAGAATTCAGGATAAGGTTGGCCCCTCTTGGACTTCCTTGCCTGGTCAGATTTTGTTGGTAAAATCATAGAGTGTCTGCTTTATTAAACTCTCGGCTGGCCTCCACTGCTTCCTCAGGAGAGCATCTATTGCACTGCTATTGGGTTAGCAGATTGATAATGTCTTAAATACCATGTACAATTAAAAGTGAAAGTGGATTCTTCTCTCTTCCTTTCCCCAGGACCATCTTTTCTCTTCCTTTCCCCAGGGGCCAGCCTCTTTCTTCCCTTCTCCAGGGCATCCATTCATTCACTTTGTTGCATACACTTAGTCTTTTAAACTTGCTTTTCTCACTCAGCAGTGTATTGTATATGTTTCCATGTCAAAATATCAGTGCTACCTTATTCTATTTCATGGCTAATGTGTGGATGTGGCAGATTTACTCATTCATTCCTCTGTTGATGGATACTTCAATTGTTACAAGTTCTCACTATAACAAACACTGTTGTAGAGAGCATCCTTGAGCATTAGTGTAGATATTTCTACAATAGATACCTAGGAGTGTGCTCACGTCTGTGTGTGTGTGTGCTTGTGTGTATTAATCATTAATGAATACCACTAAATTGCTCTGCCAAAAGATACCGAGTTATGTTTTCAGTATTAATGTCTGTGAGTGTCCCCTTCCCCCTCACTCCTGCAGTATTGGATAAGACAGAGCTTTTAGCTTTATGCCAGTCTGGGAGGTGAGAAGCATCTCTCTTTTGAATTTCCATCTCCTAGGTGATTGGTGAGGTGAAGCCTTTCTTTCAGATGTGTTTTAGTCATCTGTATTTGTTCTGTGAATTGCCTCACTTTACTGAATATTTGAAATTCAGCATCTGTAAAACAGACAAATCAGAGCTGGACTATGTGCTTTATACATTTTTCTTCGCTTTGGAGAGTTTTGCCTAAGATCTCTTTAGATAGTGAATTCCCGTAGTGCATTTAAAGAGCTTTGGTGGCACTTAGTTAAGGCATTGGATTGCTAACCAAAAGGTAGGTGGTTCAAGATCACCAGCCACTCTGTGGAAGGAAGATGAGGCAATCTACTTTTGTAAATGGAAACCTGATGGGGCATACCATGAGTCAGAATGGACTCGATGGCAGTGTGGTTTAGTGCATTTGCACAATTTTGATTCACAGAAATCTTTTCAACTATAAATCTATTTGTGACAATTTGTCTGCTTGTTATATTGTGTTTAATATGTGTAATTTGCATTTGATTTCTAACCAAACCCAAACCCATTGGAGTCGATTCCAACTCATAGCAACCCTGTAGGACTGAGTAGAACTGCCCCATAGAGTTTCCAAGATTGTAATCTTTAGGGAAGCACACTGCCTCATCTTTTACCTGTGGAGTGCCTGGTGCTTTTGAACCGCCCACCTTTTGGTTCACAACTGAGCGCTTTAACCACTGTGTCACCAGGATTCCTTTGACTTCTAATAGGCATATGCTAATCCATTACATTTTACTGTTTGTTATCACTTAATTGAGAAGGACGTGTTAGCTGAGGGCAATGCTTTTCAGTCCCACAAATAGAGTTACTCACCTTTTCCTATTGCTGTCTTCTCACAATTTGTCTTTCCCTTAGCACGCGACCATTTTAGAGCACATGCAAGTTTTCTCTTAATGTTCTCCAACTTGCATCTTTTCATCTTGGTCTGTTTGATAGAGTCTCATTCTTATTCCTGAGGCTGAGCGAGGATCACTCATTCTCAGCTATGCCTTTGGCATCACAGCCTCTGCAGATGGCAGCTGGAGGTTGGGGCTGCTTTTTTGTATTCCTCACACCCAGAGACTTGTCACCTGATGGAGGCTGTGTCTTCTAGTTTTCAGTCTGGAGTCTGTTGCTTTGGTCGGTAGATAGAGTAGCACTTGTCATTTTTTTTTTTTCCCCTCCCAAACTAGAGAGGTGCATGTGTTCCAAATGAGAGTAACGGTCACATGTTCACGTAGCTTTAAATACAGGATATTCATCATTATTTTACTTAGTAAATGATAAGTGAGAATTAGATGACTAAAGAAATGAATGAGCTTTATTTGTAAAACTGGGTTTGTAATCTGTGCCATTTAGAAGTCTGTAGTGGCAGAAAACATTCTCATTTACAAGTGTGTGAAACACTAAGATTGTTTCCTGCTTCTTCCCTCCCCTCAGATACAACCTAAAAGGAAGCAGCAAACTTCTTTTTTTTTTTTTTTTTAATAAATATATACAATTCAGAGACATTGGTTATGTTCGTTGTGCTGTTCAGCCATCCCCACCATCCATTTCCAAATTTCCCATCACCTTTAACAGAAGCTCAGTGTCTCCAGAAGCTATGAGGCCACCTTTCCCCCTCCTTTCCAAAAGCCCTTGGCAGCCACTAAGCACCTTTGGTCTCAGTACACTTGCCTAGCCTACATATTTCATGTACGTGGAATCATACGGTATTTGTCCCTTTGGGAGTACAGACTTCTCTTGAGAGATGCTTATTGGGTAATTATTCCCCTTTCACTTAAGAGACTCTGCCGTTCTTATGTATATTGCAGTACAGGCCTACAGCCCTGAAAATTGATATCCCCAGGGCAAGTAACACAGGAGGATCTTGTGAAAATTTGCTGCCTGAAATAGTGACACCTAGGACCTGAAATGTGGGGGAGAAGAGGGAAGAGTGGATGATAGAGCTAGAAGCTATGAAACATGTTTTCTTAAGTTGTTAGAGATGAAAACAGGCTTGTCCTTTTGTAACTCTGAAATGACCCTTGTTAAATGATTCAAGTTTGCCTTTCGATCTTTGTCCCGTTTAACGTTGTTTGTTGGCTTGATCTACCTAGTGCTGATTTTGTCTCATTGAGGCTAGCAGAGAGCTGGTCCTTGCTCATTTTTTCCCCAGAAAAAAGGGGGAGCAAAAGGTCTGGTCAGTCATGAAGTTCAGAATCCAGCAAAGTGCCATTTCTGTCCAGCGTCAGTTGATTTCCAGAATCCATCATCATATAAACAGAACAATCCACTTTCCTGCTCAGATAGCCAGTTCACTTGTTCTCTTCTCCTGGGCAGCGTAGCCCAAGCAGCTTACTTTCACTGCCGGAAAAATTCACTTGTCAGAGTTAGCAGGACTCACGCACTTTTCTCCTAATACGTGGCCTGCTTATTTGAAGTGCCCAGCAGTGACTTATATAGTTGGCCTGCCCCTCCACCCGCCAATCTGGTTAACCTTGGCACGTTTTTCTTGCTTTTCCTATACTTTTCTTTGTTGACTATCACAAATTGAAGTGCACTCACCCAGGCTCAGAGTCAAGCCCCACCCATCACCATGATCCCAAGGAGCCTGCTGGCTCTGGATGATCAGCACCGGATGTGGAGGGGACTGCGGGGGAATTTGTTCACATTTAGGCACTTTCGCTAATGCACAGTGAAGTGGTTTTGAATTTCAAAACATTTCCCTGCTAAGAACGCACCAAATACTCTACTTAACCTGTGACTCCACTCAAGTGCTGCTGTTTTTAGTAGT